GAGGAGCAACGTTCCGACGCCACAACTGGCTAAGCTTGCCAACGCACCCACCCTTGGGGGTGCCTCCAACCTCTCTCTCATCACCTGTAACCTCAACGGATTCAATCACGGACACCCCTGCCGCAACCCACGGTAAACAACTCCCGTCTTGCGTCTTCTTCCACGAGACCAAGTTCGAAAACCACGATCACTTCCCTACCGCCCGTCACCACATCGCCAACCACGTTGGCCGCGGCAATTTCCACTTCAGTAATCTGCTTGGAGCGAGTGACCGACAAAAGCCCCCAAGTAACGAATCGGTTGTCCTGGGGGCGAGAGTGTGAGCGATGGTGTCCACGGACGAAGCTGGGGGGGGCTCGGCATTGTTCAAAACGAGTGTCATACACTTGTCGAGATTGAGTGCTGCACCAAAGACAGCACAGAAGGAGCCCACGATGTGGTCGATTTGGTAATCCGCCGACTCCAACGAGTTGGACAGAACTGTGGTGTCATCCTCGAAGAACACACTTGTCAGTTTGGAGCCGTCAGGCAGCGGGATTCCGAGGTCTGGCGAGGCACGCAGCATATCACCCAAGGGTTCGAGGTACAGGTTGAAGAGAAAACACGAGAGAGGGCATCCCTGGTTCGTACCACGATTGGGCTGAATGGCTGGTCCGAGCGCATTGTACAGCAGCAAGTGCACCTTGGGCTTCGTGTAGAGGGGAGTCGAACCCATTGCAAGAAAGACCGGCCAACGTTCATCCGCCGAAGAGCATTGAAGATGAACGTGTGGTCCACTCTGTCATATGCCTTTACGAAGTCGAGGAAGGTCGCGTAGTGCTCCTCGTTGTTGCGTGTTGCGCGATGCTGGAGGGCTTGGATGAGGTAGATGTGATCGCGCATGCTGCGACCCTTCACGAATTCTGCTTGAGAGGGGTGCACAAGAGTATTGGCGTGGTTGGCGAGCCTGTACGCAAGCGTGCGAGACAGAATCTTGCCCTCGACCGGCATCAGCGTGATGGGGAGGTAGTTCGACGGCGTAGTTTTGTTCCCTTTTTTGTAGAGCAGCGCGACTGCACTGCGGCGCTGTTGGAGGAGGAGGCGGCCACGCGTGCAGAGTTGGTAGTTGAAAACCCGGACTAAGATTTCCGCGAAGGTGTTGGGGGCGACGAGGAAGAACTCGACAGGCCAACCATCGGGGCCAGGCGACTTGCCACGTTTCATGGTCTTGAGAGCTGAAGCTAGTTCAGATGCGTCGAGCGGGCGGTCGAGGTCAGCCTGCTGCTCCGCCGAGAGGGTCTTGGTGATGCTTGAGGACAGCATCGTATTGGTGTGGGTCCGGTGGGGGCTGATCCTGGGGCTTGACCATAATGGCTTTCCAGAACTCGGTGAAAATGTGGGAAACCTCGGGCGGATCGGACGTCACAGTCGAGCCCACCGCAGCACTACGAATAGGTATTTTCAATGCCGGCGATTTGCGGAGAAAGTGAGAGCTGGCAACTTCGTTCTGACTGGCATGACTGTCGAATCCAGTATCGAGGGCGTACTGCTGCCACTCGGTACACGACGATTTGTAGAGCTCTTCAGCCGCCTTCACCGCCTGACCCGACACAAGCCCTCGCGCAAACGAACTCCGCACTGAATCGGACTTGGAGGATACGAAGGGACTCGTGGCGAAGTTGAAGTTGATTGTGTTGGCATTGGCGCAGGCGTGATTTCATGCGACGCAGCCAGCCCGACCACTTTGCGCCAACGTTGCACGTGGGATCGGCGATGAACTCGTCGAGCAGGGATTGCGCTTCGAGTTGTAAGGCACGGACGATGTGTGGATCCCTGAGCAGCTCCCGTGGTAGCCGCCATAAGCGTTGTTTGGGAGAGTGAGCCGAGGTAGACTCGGCGAGGACTGTGGAATGCGTCATGTGGTCGCCGTGAACGCATTGCTGTCAAACGACGATCGCTGGTGGAAATATGCTGTCAGTTCGACATCAACGAAGATGTAATCAAGCCGAGTCCTGCTGCGTGGCCCTGATAGGACCTTGGCG